CATTTCTATATATCCATGGCTAAATTTAAAGTACGTAAAACGCTTAGAAAATTAAAATTAAAAAGTAAAGTAATGTTCGGCGAATCTAGACGGTCTAGGTGGGCAATTAGGCGCTCTAGGCGGGCAACTAGGCGCCATAGGCGGCTGACTAATTCAGCTTGACGGCTAACCAATTAGTCGGAACGTCTGGACGAAAATCGAGGCGCTCGGCCACCGCCTGGCCTAGGTGGGGACAAGTCGGACGCCTAGAACGATTTTTAGAACACAGAGGTCTCTATTAATAAGGTTGATACATATAAACAAATTCTTGGATTTGATAAAGCAGTTTGCTCTCTTGTCAACAAAATTTCGTTGTTTTGGAAATCTTCTGGGATGGATATTTCTAATATTCAGTGGCATGGACAGTATGTTCATTTCAGGGTTCACGGTGCTTATTATACAGGATGGATTACTGGTGTCTATGGACGTCACAACTATATTACTAGAAGGGGGTTGTGGGATGCCCTCATTTGTTTTTCTGCAGGAATAAATGAGCCTTGGATGGTTGGGGGAGATTTCAACACTATAGCCAGGTTATAGTGAACATAAAGGCACTGCTTTACCTTTTATTCATGGGGTGAATGATTTCTCTTATTGTATTGCACCTTGCAACTTGATTGATCTTCCTTATTCTGGTCCAAAATACACCTGGACTGGTAACAGATCAAATGGTAGAGTTTGGAGAAGGTTAGACAGGGTTCTATTTAATAAAGACTTCTTGGACTATTTTGATAATATAAAAGTTTCTTTGTTAAATAAAACACCTTCTGATCATAGCCCTATTCTCATTCAATGTGCTAACATTGGTCTTACTGGTCCTTAGAGTTTTAAATTCCAGAATATGTGGGTTGGTAATGGATCTTTTATGGATCTTGTGAAGTCAATCTGGAATTCTGTTGACTACCAGGGGGCTTGAGGGGTTTGCTTTTCAAACTCCAAAATCTTAAAAAAGTGTTGAGAAAGTGGAACAAGGAGAATTTTGGAAATATTTTTGAATCTATCAAAGACTGTGAAGAGGAGGTCCTTAAAGCTGAGATTGCTTATCAAAGTTCTACTTGTGATCATACCAGGGAGGACTGGTTCTATAAAAGGGGTTTGCTAACTCAAAAGTACAAGTTAGAGAAGAAATTTTGGAAGCAAAAAAGCACATATTCATTGGATTTAAGGTGGGGATAGTAACTCCAAGTTTTTTCATTCCTTTGTTAACATCAGAAGAAGAAAGCAATGCATTAAAATCTGGCAGGACAGGAGGTCAGTTGTCTTCCCCTCATTGGAACTGCTGCAGTTGAGTATTTTTCTGGTTTATTCACTGCAGAGCATTATGAAAACAATAAGATATTAGATCACATTCCACATATTATAAATCAAGAGGATAATAACACTCTCATTGCTATGTCTGACTTAGATGAGGTAAAGCAAAAAGTTTGGGATCTTAATCATAACAGTGCTCCTGGGCCTAATGGTTATCATGGGAAATTTTTTAAAAAGTGTTGGAGTATAGTGGGAATGGATGTGGTTAGGGCAGTTCAAGAGTTCTTCATGGGGATTCCCATTCCTCAAAGGATGGTCAGTGCTTTAATAGTTCTTATTCCAAAATCTGATAGACCTGCTAATTGCAGTGATTTTAGACCTATATGTTTGTCTAATTTTATTAATAAGGTGTGTACTAAGGTGTTGGCTTCAAGACTTAAGGGTATTCTTCCTAAAATTATTTCATAAGAACAAGCTGGTTTTATGGTCAATAGGGATTCTACTGAACAGATATTAATAGCACAGGAAATGGTTCACTATATTGACAAAAAGGTCAGTGGAGGCAATTTGATTATTAAGCTTGATATGGCCAAAGCGTTTGACTGAGTTTCTTGGCAGTTTCTATCAGATATCCTTTTAAAATTTGGATTTTCTTCCCATTTTTTCTCGTGATTATGAATAATCTTAAGTTTACATTCCTCTCTATCCTTATTAATGGCACCCCACAAGGTTTTTTCAAGCCAAGTAGAGGGGTGAAGCAGGGTGATCCCCTTTCCCCGTTTTTATTTATTATTGCTTCAGAGGCATTCTCACGTCGTTTGAATTGGTTGATGAATAATAATAAAGTCAATCATTTTTGGATGGGAAATAGGGGCATAGCTGTTTCTCAACTTGGTTTTGCTGATGATCTGTTAATTTTTATTAATGGAGAATCCAGAACAATATTGCAATTTAAAAAATTTCTGAATGGTTACCAGAAAGCCTCAGGACAGGCCATCAATCTTTCGAAGAGTTCTATCATTTATGGGAAATCTTCTCCAGTAAAACTTTCAAGGTTTACCTATTAAGTATCTTGGTGTTAACTTGCATAAAGGAATCAATAGATTTGAATACTGTAGCAATATTATCAAGCAATTCGGAAATAAGCTTTCTCCTTGGAAGCAAAAGAACCTATCTCAAAGGAGGAGGCTTATTCTTATTAAACATGTGTTGATTATATACCCTTACATCTATTGGCTGTGGATATTTTGCCTAGAAAGGTTATCAAGGTGCTTAATAGTAAGATGACCTCCTTCTTTTGGGGATCATCAAATGACAAAAAGAAGTTTCATTGGATAAAATGGTCCAAGTTGTGTTTCCCTACCATTGAAGGGGGGTTAGGAATTCAATCCTTATCTGACATTGAAAAAGCATTTACACTTAAATTGTGGTGGAAATGGAAAACATGAGATTCCCTTTGGATTCAGATTATGAAATCTAGATATGAAAGGAGTGATATCATGATACCTAAAACCACAGACTCTGCAATTTGAAGGTGAATTTTCTGAGTTAATGCTCAAGGATCAGAACTGTGCACCATGGATCAAACTGGCAGACTTACCTGGAATGAAGAAAATGATGGTCGATTTACTCTTAAATCTGCTTATGAAGAAGTCAGAGAATTGGCTTTCAATTCTTCTGTGTATCAACAGATTTGGGAAACTAAGCTTGAACTTAAAATGAAACTATTGCAATGGAAAATTGCTAAGGGCATCCTGCCTACTTCGGATAACCTTAGTAGATTTCAGCGTGTAGTTTATCCCTCTATGTGTCCTCTCTGTAGAAGACAAAGTGAAACAATGAAGCATCTGTTTTTCGAGTGTGCAGTGGTAAAAGAGGGTTGGGATGATTTTTTAACTATATTTGGTATTTATCAACCTCCTGGGATGGGCTATAGTCATTTTCGCTATTGGAAGCTTAGCAATGGTGTCATGAGCTTGGTTGACATGTTTAAACAAAATATGCTTGGGATCATTTGTTGGATAATTTGGAAAGAATACGCAAGGCAGATTTGGGGTTCAGGAGGGGGAAATCCTAATTCGACAGCTCTAATTCTTCAAGTTAAAATGTATACTCAGAGTTGGGTTGCTAGCTTGTCTACTCTTAAGATTCGGACTATTGGAGATATCCTTTTTAAAGAAGGTTTAATTCCTACAAATTTCAAGCTTAGGGGGTTTCAACCTCAAATTATCAGATGGCATAAACCATACAAGAAATGGAAATTAAACGTGGATGCGTGATACTTAGATGATGAATCAAGCGGAGGAGCGATTCTGCGTGACCGGAAGGGAAATTTTGTGGTGGCAATCTGCTTCCCTTTGCTTGCTACGTCTTTTTTGGAAGCTGAGATTAAGGCCATCTTTACCGCTACTAGGTGGACGGATGAGGAAGGGTATGATGAATTCCAGGTTGAATCAGATTCGAGTTTGACCCTGGAGTATCTCGCTGGTAAGCAGGAGCGACGATGGACGATTGATATTCAGGAAGTTACGCAGATGGCTTTTAGGAAACACTTTCATTTCGGACACCTTAAAAGGGAGGGCAATTGGGTTGCATATCACTTGGCCCAAATTTCTACGGACAGATTAAGAATCTATTCTGGGCTTGATCAACTTCCTATTTTTGTTAAAAGAGCTTTTTGGATGGATTATTTTGGTATTCCTTCTATAAGAATTTAATCTGTTTTGTTCTCTCGAGTAATGTTTGGTCTCCCGATCTTTGTATTTTCATTATTATTATCTAATAAAAGTTGGTAAATGTTCTCCGGCATTAACCCCACTGATTTTGGTGGTTTGTCTTCCGGGGTAAAAAAAGAACAACCAAAAAGTTGTATTACTTTTATGTACTCTCTCCGTTCTTTATTAAGTGTCTTGCATTCCTTTTAAGGACGTTTTTAATTATTTGTCTATCTTTTTCTTTTTTATAAAATATCCCCACTTTTATTACTTTTATCTCTCTCACTTTTTACAAACTACTTTCTCTTTCCTACTTTATCTTAAGTTTACTCTACTTAATATACTTTCTTTCCTACTTTATCATTATTTTACTCTTTTTAATATACTCTTTTTCCTACTTTATCATTTACCTTAAGAGTATCTCTTTCAACATTTTGGAATTATGAAATAAATATCTCGTGCCTCTTGTGGTATAGAAGTATAAAACAAGTGTAATTTACGTTGTACTACCTCCGTCCTTTATAGTTTGTCACACTTTCCCGAAACGGATGTCCCAAAATGTTTGTCTTACTTTTTCAACTTCCTTATTTGGTAAACAAATCTATACCAAACAGTGTCAAACAGTGTCAAACAACATCACTACAGTGTGAAACAGTATCGCTACAGTATAAAGTCAAATTCATCTCTTAAAACTTGTGAAGTCAAACTATCACAAATTGAGGGACAGAGGGAGTATAAAATCAACCATTCTTGATGTACACACCCTTGTACACACCTTGTACACATCATGTTTGTGAAGCTTTTTTTTTGTCTGTGAATCTGGTTCACAGACAATATTTTGTTTGTGCAAAACATTGTCTGTGAATCGATGTTCACAGACAAAAAAAAGCTTTCACAGACATAGGTGTGTACAAAAGTGTGTACAAAAGTGTGTACAAACATCATTTTTCGTATAAAATAGAAGACTCTCATCACTTATCATGTGACTACAATGAGGTCATCGTAAACAAATCAATTTTTTAAACGACAATCATTAATGGAGTTATAGGTGGAACGTTCACGCATTTTCATCATCTTCGTCGCAAGAATCTTGTTCTTTCCTCCCTCTCCGATGATCATATTCTCTTCTTTATAGATTTGCCCTTTTTCACCTCACGATTTTGTTCTCATCGACGGAAATAATTGCCTTGGCCCTTGGGTTTGCCGTTGTCTGGAAAACCGGTTTGGGTTTGATGGTTATAGCTTTTGTTCTAGTCTAGAGGAGAAAGTGCGATTTCAACCGATGGGAAACGCCGGAAGCAGCGTATCGAACGCCCGGCGGAGGAGCAACAGCCATCGGAGGGCCCACCCATCCGCGCCTCCACCGCAGCATCCGCAGCCGGATGTCAGCCCTAACATGTACGTCTTTGCGGCGGCGACGCCTTATCCTCCGCAATACCCTAACGCTCCGCCGTATTACCAGTACCCAGGCTACTATCCGCCGCCTCCTTCCTCTGTGCCGATCACTTTGCCGGCTCCGTACGACCACCACCACCATCGCATGGACTCGAATTGGGTAAACGGTCGGTACCCTTGTGGGCCCATCGTGCCTCAGCCAACGCCTTATGTGGAGCACCAAAAGGCCGTGACTATACGGAATGATGTCAATCTAAAAAAGGAGACGCTACGGATCGAGCCAGATGAGGAGAACGCCGGGAAATACCTCGTAGCTTTCACCTTCGACGCCACCGTTGCAGGAAGGTGTGCTGCTGCTTTATCGGCCTTTTTTCTCTGTCCACTTTCCATATTAAATCTTGTTCCTCTCTTTAACAAAGTTTTTCTTTGATTGCCAGTTCTAATGAATTTCTTGAGTGGTATATATGACCTTGGAATCTAGCGACTGTTTAGCACGCCTTGATTTTTTATTCACTGAGGTTTGCTATGAATTCTATAGTTACCAGGGTTCTAATGTGCAGTATATTTTATTCTTTTGTCATTTTGTTCATCCATGGGTAATAAAAATTCAAACTTTGCTGGAAAGTTTTGAAATTTATTTCTTTTGTACTTATCAACAAGAATCTAATTCAATGGGGCCACAGGGGGCTGCAGGGCCTTGAATGTGGTATGTGTCTTCTCTTGGATCAATAATTCGTATGTTATATAATTAGGTGTTTGTGAAATGTCTTCTTTCGCAAAGATGACGAAATTGTCATTTTAGTACCTTCTTTAAAAAAAGAGTTTACCGATTCATGGCATTTGTCATGAGTTTTACTCCATTAATTGAGTTCCATTTAGAGGTGAGGTGCGGCCATATTAATTTTTTTAAAATGATTATGCTATCATTTGGATAATCACCCTTTTTTCAAACATGTTATTACTACGCGCCTTGCCCATTATATGGAACTTTTTTTGTTTGAATTATGAATGTTATGATTCCATAGATTATGAAGACTATTCCACATTGGTTTTCATGTTTGATTCAATGTGGGCACAGATGTTTAGGATGCATATCAGCATATGTATAGAGGACCTCACAAGTCCAAACTTTTTTCTTGTCCTGTCATCTGAACATTTGATCAGGGATTAAGGATTGAGTACAGAGTCACAAACCATGCATGACTCACCAATCACATCATAAAGGTTCTGACCTTTTTTGTGTGAGGTAGTTCTGACATGATCATTTGTGTTATGTATACACACATATTGCTTCCACTTATATTCTGAATTTCCAAAATATAAAATAAAATGATACGCCATCCGTCTCGCTAAGATTGCCCCAGCTTTCTTTTTTGGGCCGCCCACTAAGATCGTCTCATGCCAAATTTGGTAAAATTTGTGTGGTTCCAAGTCATTCTTACTTTATTCCTAGTTTATTACTTCAATATAAAACACATAAATCCACTTTTCTCAATAGTCGTGCCAACTCCTCATGTCCCAATGTTAACAACACCCATCTTGGAATGTAGATTTGTGAATGCAAACTAATTATCACTTCTTTTCTTTCAAATATTGCTTAAGAGTTTGATTTCCTCTTTACATGCAGCATGACCATCATTTTCTTTGGACAAGAAGGTGAAGACTGCCACTTGGCCCCTGCCAAGGAAGATCTGCTTCCACCCGTGACAGTTCAATTCCAACAAGGTTTGGCCCAGAAGTTCAGACAGCCCTCTGGAACGGGAATAGACCTTTCAATTTTCGATGAAGCTGAGTTGTCAAAGGAGGGAGAAATGGATGTATATCCCTTGGCAATTAAGGCAGAGGCATGCCCAGATAACCAGAGTGAGGAAAACCCACTTTCTGGGCCTACCAATTCTCAGATAACCCAAGCAGTGTTTGAGAAAGATAAAGGTGAATATCACCTTAGGGTGGTTAAGCAAATCTTATGGGTCAATGGAATGAGGTATGAGTTGCAAGAGATATATGGAATTGGGAACTCCACTGATGGAGAAAGTGAGGAAAGTGAGAATGGGAAGGAATGTGTCATATGCCTATCTGAACCTAGGGACACTACTGTTCTTCCCTGTCGGCACATGGTAATCTTTGATGTATATTTCCCTCTTCATTTTTCAAAGAAAGTATTCTACTTTTGGTCCCATGACTAGAAGGTCGTATTGCTTTTTTGCATGCAAGTACAACAAGTCAACAACAACAACATCGAAGCTTTAATCCCAAAAGAATTTGAGGTCGTCTAACATGAATTGATCTATGATATCGATGCCAAAAATAGAAGACGGGGGAAGAAAGGGAAGAAAAAAAAAGTAAGATAAAATGAATAAAATAAAGATAAATAAATATAAGATAACAATAACACAAGAATATAAGAAAGATAAAAGATAAAAAATAAAAGAGCATAAAAAAGCTAGAAGATAAAAATAACACAAGAATATAAAAAGATAAGGAAGATAAACAATAAAAGAAAAAAGAGAGGAAAGGGAGAAAAGACATCAATCGTCCACACGGATGTGCGCCCTCCACTTTGCTCTCTCCAACGTCATACTCTCATCCAACCCAAGAAGACGCATTTCAGTTCTGATTCCCCTAATCCAAGTCTGTTTGGGTCTTCCCCTCCCTCTCTTCTCTGTCTCTTCTCCCCACCCCTCAAGTCGTCTAACAGATGCATCACTTGATCTTCTACGCACATGCCCAAATCACCGCAAACGAGACTCATGCATCTTATCTTCTATAGGTGCTACTCCCACCTTTTGTCTGATTACCTCATTCCTCAAGCGGTCTTTTCTGGTATGTCCACACATCCAACGCAACATACGCATCTCTGGCACAATCATCTTTTGAATGTGGCATTGCTTCAACGCCCAACACTCTACGCCATACATTAATGCCGGCCTAATTGTTGTACGATAAAATTTACCGTTCAATCTAGTCGGCATACCTCGATCGCAAAGAAATCCTGAAGCACTCTTCCATTTCATCCACTCAGCTCTGATTCTATGACATACATCTCCATCTAATTCACCATCCTTCTGAATTATAGAACCCAAGTAACAGAACATATCACACACCGGTATTTCCGTCTATTGGATTTTATTTCGTACTTTTTTTGCATGCAAGTACGATATAAAATACAATAGACGGAAATGTTGTTCAGTCTAATTCATTCATAAAATAGAAATATGAAATAAAGAATTTACATTCGGTATTCAACTTTCATTTTTGGGAGTAAGGCTTGGGATGTTGCTGTTGTTGTTTGTATCCAACTTTCGTTTCCAGTTCTGGTGCTTGGCTATGGATTTCCTGTCACTTTTGATCCTTCTAGGCCAACTTCTATTTGATCCCCTTTTGAGTTTTCATCAGATAAGTGGCCAGAATGACCAAAAGTAGAAAATGTTCATAACTGGGTACCTTCCATGGAAAAAGTGATGGTTAAATGTAAAAAAGATCTAATAATTATTGGACTAAAAGTGTATTATTTTCTTTCTCAAATGATATTCAGAATTTTAGAAAAGCCTGAAATTGAATGAAAGTCCAGTGGACACGATTTTTGCCTTTATGTTTAACAATTCTAGGAGCAAAAATTAGAACCGGTACCCCGTAGCCTAACTATTGGATCTATATATCACTTTGGTACCTTAACTAATTAATTTATTGTATCCATAGAAGTAAGCGCTTGTTCCAATAAGTAGTATCAAAGCATGTCACGGGTTTGAATGCCATGGAAGGCATGCTGTGCAATTAATGGCTGGCAGGTGATGGGGATTGTTGGATGTGCGGGCGAGCATGTTGTGCCTGCTACTCTTTAAGAAATGAGAGTTGTGTCCATCAGCAAATCAGATTTTTCTTTTGTTGTAGTACTAAGCGCTTGAGATCTAATAGATACCTAAACGAATGAAAAATGTTACTCTGTACTTTTTATGTCTCCTTGAGTGAGTGCGCACTTGACATACATGCAGTCAAAATCCATATTAGCTTGAGGGAGAGCAGCAGTTTATAAAGGTGTTTTTCCACGAAATGATTAAGAATGGTTTTAAAAGATGTTTATGTGTCAAGAATCATTGTGGCAAACACCATCCCATGTAAGGGTGGAGAAGGTAAGTTCGGATATGGGAACTGGAATTGTCCCGGAAAAGGGGCAACCAGAATGATCCCAGAGGTATAGTGTGCGGTTCCATATTTCGTAATTTGGGTAGTGGAACCGGACATTGTAGTTCTGGTTCCATTCGTTTCGTTGGAATCAATTGTTACAAAAAAAATGAACCCTAACCACTGAGAAGTGAATTGGAACCGGTGCTGGTTACAGCTACCCCATTTTGAGAACTGGTGGTACTGGGACCATGTTTCCAGAAATGGAACCGAACCTTTCTTTTTCAACCTGACGTGGTGGGACATCTGACTATTTTTTCTGCTAACTCAATTTACTCCACCAATCTTTGCTGGATTTCACCTTGTTTTAATGGGGAATGTAACATTGTCATGAGTATAGGCCTATAGGGTGCATCTGGGTACAATAAGAAGTTGAAGTATTAAAGTGACACTGATCAAATAGTTATGGTATCATTTAGGCATTTGGCTCAATTTAGGACACTATGTTATGAAAGGAATGCACTTTGCCAAAATAATTTGAATATCAGAATAATCAGATACTTATTACTTTATCTTGAATGCAGTGCATGTGCAGTGGGTGTGCCAAGGTTTTGAGATTTCAAACAAATAGATGTCCTATTTGCAGACAGCCTGTGGATCGCCTCTTGGAGATCAAAGTCAACAATGACACTGAGGAATGAAACATTTGTTGCTTATTTCCCTCTTTGTAAAGCTCTTTCATTTCTCTTTTATGTGTGTTCTTTTCCATCTTTTCTTCTTCTTTCAGTGATAGAAGGGGGTGTCCCAATTTCAGAAAAAGTTGCTCAGTTGGCAATTGCATAGAAAATGCTTTGCGCAAACACCATTCTCCTTATTATTATGGCAAATATTGAGCATCGACTCAGATCGATGTTAATATAAATGTGTGGTATTCTGATTGGTACTTACTGTGTAAAAACGAATGCAGAGTATCAACTCGTGCATTACAACGTTTCTGAATGTGGATTCGATCTCAGGGTTCCTTTCAATTCACCTGAAGGGTTGAACTGGAACTGTAATTAGGTACGGTTTTGATTTTGGGTTAGTTACGATTTCTTGGCCAATTTGGAACATGATTTAATGATCGGTTCCTGTATGGAAAAGAGGACAAACTACTTCTAATTAGGGATGGGCCTAGTCCGCCGGTCCTGACCGAACCGGAACCGAGCATGGCTCTGTTTGAAATAGGTTCGGGACCGGTTTTTGTTTCCGGACAAGGGCTGCCCCCTGCCTCTGTTTCATAACATGGTCCTGGGTGCGTTTTTTTTGGACCAAGATTGGCCGGTTTGGACCCAGTTTGGTCTTTTGTCTAGCCTTTTGTGTAGCCTATATATGTGTGTACATATAGATGTTTATACACACATATATTCACTTTAGTTATACTTATATTTATTTATATTATTTGTGCTTATATAAGTATATTTAGTTTTTAAAAATTAGGCATAAAAGTGACTTGATGGAGTGTGTATTGTAAATTAGAATACTATTCTAAATATATACAATGTGTTGTTCGATTTGTGTGGTCATTGAAATTTCATATTTTTCGAGATTTGAAATACATAAAAGTTTATCACCACATATAATAGGGGTTTTGGTGACTATGGGAGTGGTTGTGATTGCTTCTGATGGAGTATATGGGTTCAAACCTCATGATCCACATACTTTCAGCTACATGCAAGACTCGGGGACGTACGACATCAAGCACAAGGAACACCTCTGGGACGTACGACCTCTAGCACATGGATCACCTCGGGGACGTACGGCCTCCAGCACATAGGAAGGCCCCGTGGACGTACGGCCTCCAGCACATAACAGTCATCCGGGGATGAACGGCCACTAGCACTCCGTCATCCAGACGTACGTCTCCAAGGACTTCATCTGCCACAAATAGACCTATCTCTCCAAGGACTTCGTCTGTCACAGCCAGACGTACGTCTTCAAGGACTTCGTCTGCCACAGCCAGACGTATGTCTCCAAGGACTTCGTCTGCCACAGCCAGTCGTACGTCTCCAAGGACTTCGTCTGCCACAGCCAGGCGTACGTCTCCAAGAGCTTCGTCTGCTATACTTCCATACTTAGCTCATATATCCGAATGTAATCAGCCCAATAGAGGTCTTATATTGTAATGGGCCTCCCAAACCCAAGACTTGGGAGCTCAGCCCGCTTTTCCCTATAAATACTCCCCTTGGGAGTAGTTGTAAGGGTTCGAAACTTATTTAATACAAATCACTTCTCTCTAGACATATAGTCTATCATTTGGTGCTCTCGTTGAGAGCTAGAACGATCAAGTTAGCATTCTTCGTTGCTACCAAGCATAGCTAACTAACTATGTGAACAGCAAGGTCAAACTGTAACCCCATCGACAAGGCGATCCCTGAGACCCAAGAGAACGGGGAACATGAAGAGGACGCCACTGCCGACAAGGATAGGGATGAGGAAATCTTCCACGAGACCATCGATCCCACGGCTGACCTTCGCGATCAGCTTAACAGCAACGCTCAAGACGCCCGCATCGGCCTTGAGAAGAAACGCATTCAGAAAGGGGACAACGCCTCGGGGCAACAGATTACTCCTGTTGTTGACCCTCAACTCCAGGCCGCTATATCGACCATCATAGCCATCCTGGCTCAGAACCCCACCGTCCTTAGCGCACTTATGCCAAGGACGGGGGAGAACACAACTCCACCACATCCTCCTCCCCGGCCGTTAGTCATGAACATTGGCAACGAAGAGGGGGTGGTGACCCAGGACACGGCATCCCATTCCGATCCTGGTTCCCCTCATCGACCTGGACCGACCCCAGTGTGTAGAGCCTCGGCCTTCAACAGGCTAGGGGACGCACATCATCGGCCAGCATCGGAGAGGCTGGCGGGACGGATTGGTGAGCGTGAGCTTGGCTCACCCAGGGAGAGCTTGGGGTCCGTATCCCAGACAGCGGATCGGCCCCGCCTTCACAAAGGCAAGGGCAAGCTACATGAGAACGACACACGTCGCCACATCAACACGGCCCATGCAACTCGCATGGGGACACACGTTGCCACTACGGCCGCCAAAGACACACGAGACGAGGTCATCGCCCAACTTGAAAGGAGGCTCGCTCACATGGAAGCAAAGCAAATGGCCGAGGCACGTACGGCCGCAGCATCCAGGGACCTCGGCCTCAACGACCTCTTGCACAAGGTCAGCACCCTGGAGCGGGAACTGGCCGATGGACGTGGTGACCCTGTCATCCAAATCAGAACAAAAACTCCATTCACCACAAGGGTGCTCTTGGCCCCAATACCCGAGAAGTACCGGGGGAGTGCCATCAAGCCTTATGACGGCCGCACCGACCCCCAAGAGCATTTCAGCCGCTATCAGAACAACATGTTGATGGTAAATGCGTCTGAAGAGTACCTCTGTTGTTGGTTCTTTTCCACTCTTGAGGGACCAGCGTACGAGTGGTTCAACGCGCAACCCGAAGGAAGCGTGGACTCATGGCAAGATCTTGCCCAACGCTTCCTCACCCACTTCGCCGGAAGGAAGCGCATGAAGAAACATTTTTCCCATCTCTGGTCTTTCATCGACCGATGGACGAAGGAGACAGACGAGATCAAAGATGCCGATGAGCGCACCCTCCTCGTCCTCTTCCAAGGCATTCTCTACAGCAGCCCCTACGCGAGAAGCCTCATCACTGACCCGCCGAGGTCATACACCAAAGCATTCCAGCGATGGAGATTGTACGCTGACGCCGATGAGCTCCACTCCCGCAAGAAGGATGGAGGTCAGCCATCAAAGAAGACAAACAATGCATCGGCTCCAAGCGCGCCCTCGGTCGGAGGCCATGCCCGCCAGTGCCGGAAGGAGCGCCCATGGCAGCCGAGGACGGACGTACCAAGGACTCCACTCACACACTCAGTGGATACCATCCTTGACTGTGCGGAGGAGCAAGGTCTCATCCCCAGAGATCCTCAGTCGGCCAAGGAATTCTACGCCGTCCACCAGGGCGACACTTATTGCCGTTACCACAAGAAAATCTCCCATAATACAGACCATTAAGCGCTTGATTCAACGGGTGAACTCCACCAATTTGTCAAAGGTGCCCCGAGGAACTCCATCGGCAATCAGGAAAGGGACACCTCGACGAAGGAGCATGAAATTGGGAGGCTCAGCGACAACGAGGACTTCGAGGAGCCCCAGCCGAAGAAGCGTCACATCTGCTGACTGTCCTTCTCCAAAGGGACGCACGACCGACGCCTGGGCCTCCATGGTGAAGTTCTACCAGCAAGCTGACGAATGGCTGAGCGAGCAAGCCGACAGATGGCTTATCCCTCAAAATACGAAGGGCCCTACATCTCACTGAAGTTCTATCATCAATCCGAAGAGGGTGCAGACGGCAGAGCCCCCACCCCAAGGTCAGAAGCTCATTGAGAAGCTAACTCCTATACGGGTAGTTGAGAAGGTTACCACCCTCGGCCTAGAGCCACTGACCTTAATAAAATTCGTTGTCATGAACAACGCACCTATTGTGTTCCGCTTATTTCTTGTAAAATTTAAGTAAAAGATGTCACACAACAAAGCACGTCGCATCGGCCCCTTCGAGGGAAACGCTCAGGTATGGCTGACGACGCCACACAACAAAGAACGTCGTTATGTCCCCTTAGAGCGAAACGCTCAGGTATGGACGACGATGTCCCAGGACGAGGGACCTGCAAAATGGGCCGTGTCTTGAAATGGGAAGCTCACCGCATCGTCCTCGCGCTAAATCGCACGGCGACAGGCCTGAAAGAATGGTCGAGGTGACAAAATCCCCACACTTGGGGTTGGGAAACGGCAGCCGCCGGTAACCGACCAAAAGCCTAGCCCGCGCCATAAATAGATGACTGAACCACTCAAGATCAAGGGACGATCCAGCGCCAGAGGCCGGACAGCTGCCCTCCTGGACTCCCTATCGGCCGAGCGAATAGCAACCCCCTCGATCGAGCCTGAAAGAAGGGGGGCCCACTCCTCGCTCAAAGAAGTAAAGAGGAAGAAATAAAAGAGGGAAAGCCGAAGGACCGTGCACTCTCCGGCCTCGAGCAAAATCCCCACAAATAAAAGAGAGACAATCGAAGGACCGTGCACTCGCCGGCCTCGAGCGAAATCCCCACAAATCAAAAGAGGGAAGTCGAGGACCGTGCACTCGCCGGCCTCGAGCAATAAAAATAAAATCCACACAAATCAAGCCACATATTTGGCTAAGTACATATCAGGCAAACACTATGCATTATGGATGAAGCAAGACTATACATGTGGATTAGACGAGCGTCCTTAACACCGTCCAACTTCAGGCTAGCATAAAAGCCTTGCCCTCCACACGACGAACGGCTTCAATAACGCCATCGTCATCAAAGGACGAGCGTCCCCAATGCCATCCTTCAACTTTAGGCCAGCGTAAAAGCCTTGTCCTTCATATGACGTACGACTTCAACAACGCCAGCGTCATCAAGGGACGTGCGTCCATCTCCGCCCTTCATCTTCAAACTAGGGTCAAAACTCTGTCCTCAATGTGACGAACAGCTTCCTCAGCACCGTCGTCATCAAAGCACCCTTCATCTTCAAACCAGGGTCAAAACCTGGTCCTCAATATGACGTACGACTTCATCAACGCCAGCGTCATCAAGGGACGTGTGTCAAGTGCTGCCCTTCATCTTCAAACCAGGGTCAAAACCTGGTCTTTCATATGACGTACGGCTTCATCAACGCCAGCGTCATCAAGGGATGTGCGTCCAATGCCGCCCTTCATCTTCAAACTAGGGTCACAACCTGGTCCTCAATATGACGTACGACTTCATCAACGTCGGCATCGTCAAGGGACGTGCGTCCATCGCCGCCCTTCATCTTCAAACCAGGGTCAAAACCTAGTCCTCAATGTGATGAACGGCTTCATCAGCACCGTCGTCATCAAAGTATGAGCGTCCCCAACGCCGTCCTTCATCTTCAGACCAGCTTCAAAGTTTGGTCCTTCATAGGACGAACGACTTCATCAAACGCCGTCCTTCATCTTCACGCGGGCGCCAACACCCAGTCCTTCATGAAAGGACGAGCGTCCCCAACATCGTCCTTCATCTTCAGGACCGCGTCAAAGCTTGATCCTTCATCCGACGTCCGGCTTCATCGGCTCCATCTTCAGACGGGCGCCCAGCGCCGTTCCACATCTTCGGACGAGCGTCCAAGATTGGTCCATTATCGAGTCGGCTCTGCCGTCCCTCATCTTATGACGAACGACCTCTCAAGTTCCGTCGTCCTCTGATCACGAACGGCTCCTCAGCCTCTGCGTGATCCTTCATCTCAAGACCGGCTTTCTCAGCATCGAGCGTCTTGAGCTAGCGAGCGGGCTCGCCATTCCCTTCCTGGATGTTGACCCTCGCCTTCATGTGACGAACGGCTTCATCAGCGCTGACGTCCTCAAATCATGGCAGACCCCTCGGTCTCAACGTGATCCTTTATCTCAAATACCGGCTTCCCAACGTTGAGCGTCTTGAGCTGTCGATTGGACTCTTCATCCCTTCCAGGATGAGAATCATCACCTTTGTATGACAATCGGCCTCATCAACGCCTCGTCATCAGCAGCGCGGATCGGCCCCTCAGCCTCGACGTGATAATCTATCTCAAGACCAACTTCCTTAGCGCCGCAAGTCTTGAGCTTACATGATAGCCGGCCTTAACATTGCCTCGTCATCATATTACGGACTGGCTCCCCAACGCCGTCCGTCCTCAAATCACGAACGGCCCCGGCCACGGTGTGATTATCTATCTCAATTCCGGCTTCCTCAATGCTGGGAGTCTTGAGCTTATATGACGATCGGCCCATCAGCGCCGACGTCCTCATATCGCGGTAGACCCTCGGTCTCAACGTGATCTTTTGCATCGACACGGCAGACCCCCGGTCTCAACGTGATCTTTTGCATCGACACGGCAGACCCCCAGTCTCACCGTGATCTTTTGTATCAACACGGCAGACACTCGGTCTCAACGTGATCATCATACTCTGAAGACCGGCCTTATCCTCCCACTTTATGGACAAGGACCGTTGCTTGGACTTTGGATCGGCTTCTCAGCATTGTCGCCCTTAGATCATGAACGGCCCCTTGGCCTCAGCGTGACCCTTTATCTCAAGGTCGGCTTCCTCAGCGCCGAGAGCCTTGAGCTCATATGACAATCGGCTTCATGAGCGCCTCGTCATCACATTCTGGACGTCCTCAGATCACGGCAGACCCTTCGGTCTCAACGTGATCCCTTATCTCAAGACCGGCCCCCGGCGCTGAACGTCTTCATCCAGCGATAGGGCTCTTCATCCCTTCCAGGATGGGGACCGTCGCCCTTACGACGAACGGCTCCTCAACGCCGTACGTCCTCATATCACGAACGCCTCCTCAACCTCGGTGTGATCCCTTATCTCAAGACCAGTCTTAGCCATTCCTTTACCGGATGGCGACCGTTGCAGGGATTTTCGGACCGGCCCCTCAGCACCGACGTCCGCACATCACGAACTGCCTTTCGACATGTCGTGATTATCTTTCTCAAAGACCGGTCTTAGCCATTCCTTTACATGATGGCAACTGTTGCATGGATTTTCGGACCGGCCCCTCAGTATCGTCGTCCTCATATCATAACCGGCCCCTCGGCCTTGGCGTGATTACCTCAAGACCGGCTTCCCTAGCGCCGAGCGTCTTGCGCCAACGATCGGGCTCTCCATCCTTTCCACGATGGTGACCATTACCTCTATATGACGATCGGATCCTCATCGCCATACGTCCTCAGATCACGAACGGCTCCCCAGCCTCTACGTGATCCTACATCTCAAAAACCGGCTTCCCCAGTGCCGGACGTCTGAGCTAGCGATTGGGCTCGCCATTCCCTTCCTGGATAACGACTGTCGCCTTTGTGTGACACACAGCTCATCACCATCGTCGTCCTCATATTCAGACAGGTGTCCACCGCCTCGTACTCATGTTCAGACAGGCATCCATCGCCCCGTCCTCATATTCGGACCAGCTCATCAGCACTGTGGTCCCCTCAGCAGACGGACACCGCTGCAGTTCCACACCCAGGCCGAAGGGTTCACCCCTTGGAGTTCAGTTTGGGCATCCAGTGTGCTCTTTTCCCCTCATTAGGATTTTTTCCACAGGGTTTTTCCTAATGAGGTTTTTAACGAGGCATCTCCCCATTGTTGGAGACGTGCATTGCTCTACTCCTTTTCACCTCATTACATGTGCCTCAAGGAGTTGGGGGCTGGGGGACTATATCGGCCTCCACATCCTCCAAAAAGATCAAAAGATAAACAAGTTCAAAAATGACAAAGGACCACAAGCCACGGACGGCCTCAAGCATGTAATCCATCGTCGGCCAAAATGATAAAGACACCACAGACGTCCACTTTCGGCCAAGTCAAAAGCACAGAGGACATTCATCGTCGTCAGAAACCATGGACGCACAACGTCCATTGAAAGGACCTCCATCGTCCTCAAGATTGAGGATAAAGGACACTCATCGTCCTCAAGTTGAAGTACGACATTCAGCGTCATCAAAATGAAGGACATCCATCGTCCTCAAGATGAAGGACGTTCATCGTCCTCGAAATGAAGGACATCCATCGTCCTCAAGATGAAGGACATCCATCGTCCTCAAGATGAAGGACATCCATCGTCCTTGAAATGAAGGACGAAAAGCAACCAACAATCATGTCACATTCATCGTCCTCAAAGCAGAAGGGCACACATCGTCTACGACATGGAAATAAAGGCTCCACAACGGCCAAACGCAAAGAACAGCTACAGTGGTCCCACGTCGGGCGAAACACCAAGGTAGGACATCCATCGTCCTCAAAGCCATGGACACCAAACTGCGAATGATTTCGCTTCGGCCAGGAGCACCAAGAGCAATTGTGTTGCCTCCTCAGCCAGAAGCAATGACAAACATCAGCCACCAGATGGCACCGCCTCGGCCAGAAACGCCAGTACTCCCAAGTGATCCTCCAAAGGCCAAAAGCATCAAGACAACAAGGATCTACTCCCTTTCACTTCGTCTGCATCTCAACTCAGAGAGTGGTGGACTCCTGATGGAATATATGAGTCCAGACCCCATGACCCACATACTTCCAGCTACATGCAAGACCCGGGGGACGTACGATGTCAAGCACAAGGAACACCCCGGGGACGTACGGCCTCCAGCACATGAATAACCCCGGGGACGTACGGCCTCCAGCAAATGGATCACCCTGGGGACGTACGGCCTCCAGCACATAGGAAGGCCCCGTGGACGTACGGCCTCCAGCACTCCGTCAGCCAGACGTACGTCTCCAAGGACTTCGTCTGCCACAGCCAGACGTACGTCTCCAAGGACTTCGTCTGCCACAGCCAGACATACGTCTCCAAGGACTTCGTCTACCACAGCCAGACGTACGTCTCCAAGGACTTCGTCTGCCACAGCCTGATGTACGTCTCCAAGGACTTCATCTGCCACAGCCAGACGTACATCTCCAAGGACTTCGTTTGCCACAGCCAGACGTACATCTCCAAGGACTTCGTTTGCCACAGCCAAACGTACGTCTCCAAGGACTTCGTCTGCCACAGCCAGACGTACGTCTCCAAGGACTTCGTCTGCCACTGCAAGACGTACGTCTCCAAGAGCTTCGTCTACTAGAGTTCCATACTTAGCTCATATATCCGAATGTAATCAACCCAATAGAGGCCTTATATTGTAATGAGCCTCCCAAGCTCAAGACTTGAGAGTCTAACCCGCTTTTCCCTATAAATACCCCCCTGGGAGTAGTTGTAAGGGTTCAAAACTCATTTAATACAAATTATTTCTCTCTCTAGCTCTCACTTTTCTCTAGACATATAATCTATCAACTTCTACTTCAAAAAAGTATTTTTTGAAGTGAATTTGGAGAAAATACTTAATACTAAAAGTTGTAGTGATTGAGAAAAAAGTGATTCTAAAAAAGTAAAAGTTGATAGTGTTTGATAAAATGAAAAACAGCTTAAACACCCTTCTGCTTTCAATTTTTAACTTTTAAGTGCTAAATTCAAATAAATGCTATCATTTGAAAAAACTCATTTCAGTTTTTTTAAGTCAAAAGCTGAAAAACACTTTTTTAAGTTTTAGCAAACACTCTCTAAGCACTTTTCCCAAAATCACTTAAAAAATCATTTTTCTAAAGTAGAAGCAATCGCAAACACTTATAAGGTTTTTGTGAGTGAAAATTTTGGTTCCAAGAATCCAAAATTAAATATAGCACATTATAAGAAAATTTAATTATAAGCAAATTGCATAAATAGGGAAAAAACGTTTGTAAATTTAAAATAAAAACATTATGTTTTTATTGCCTAAATTGGAAAAATTACAATCATGTTTGGAAATATCCTGATATGTGCCTGGTAATGTAAAAGTGTTGGTACCAATATTTTATAGATGTAAAATTTAAACAAAAAAAAAAAGATAAAAATAAATATTTAAGAAAAAAGCAATTTTTTATAAAGATTTTGAAAACCCTGGGAGAACAAGTTGCAAAGTCAATCAACCCCAAATCCCAATTATAATCGATGGTAATGATTAATTTTTGGATTTTGCAATAGCAAAAACATAATCAAAAGGTGCCTAGATCATTTGATGATACATTTTATAAGAAGGTACACACATTGGAACAGAATATAAAATTAAGTTGTGATAATAAAAAATAAAACTAGCACAAATTACCAAATACAGACAGAATATACATATATAATTTATACTAGTATCAATGTAATGAAGTAGTACCATGAACAAAATACTGGATTTCATGGTCATACAAAGTACAAACTATGCAAGCTAAACCTGACTTCTTTACTGAGTTCCATGTTTCTTAAAATGAACCGCAACTACCTGCCAATGAAAACCTCCCACTTGCACCTAGTTTCTTCACCATGATGTTACATTTGAAGCCATCGAGCCAGCTGGGTCGGATTGACTATGCCAGGGATGTGGGCGCCGTCACTCTTCAGTAGGCTTGCCACCTCATTGTATGTCTGGTTCCCCTGCTCCGGCTCAAGTTCGGTACCGGACTTGCCCCTTCCCTCCTCATCTGTACTACTCGCAGGTACAGCCTCAGCTCGAGCCTGGTCGAAGATCTGACCAAACACAGTCCCTTTAGTTAAGAACTCATAGGCCATGTACCCAGCTAAGAGCCGATTCGAGGAGAATTGTTCAGCTTGTTTCGACGACACCGTAGCTTTTTGACCAACAGCCATCACTGGACTACAGGGCCACATGGAGTACGACGCAGTTTCCCTCTCTTTCCGATTACGTGATGCTCCGGGTGGAAGGGTTCGTCGTGCATGATAGCTCATCTTGATCGTTGATTACAAAATTACAATGAGCTAATCTGACCAATCAGACGGTTGTGTGCCACGTGAGTGGAGATGATTTTTCGTTGACCCCTAGAAAAAAGATTATTAGATATTGGAGGGCAGAACCATGAGGGTCCAAATTCCAAACAGTGAAAAAGGGGGAATGCGTATGGAAACAAAATCAAGGGAAGAAATGGGGAACCAAAGTTGAAAGTCTGTTCACTTTCCAGCCGAACAAATGAGATGATTAGAAAGGAAAGCTAATTAGGCAAAAATCAAATTAACCTCTGATTTTTATCCTTGTTCTATGAAATAAATTTTGAGAATCTGGTCAGCTTCTTACTAATTTAGATTAAGACATTGTCCACAATTTCTATTATCCGCCACTCCAAAATCTGCACCAAACAATTGTATTTACTCCTTAGTCACTAGGCATACTCACCAAAAAAATTTATCATATGTTAGGTAAAGTAGTAACAATAAACTCACCACTCCGCAAACCCATCTAATAAAAATTACCCTACTGACTCCTCAGTGGTAAATATGATGAACATGTGCGCTACATATGGTACAAAATAAATATACCAACATTTGTTCATGAAAGGGTTCTGCGCATGAATAACTATAACACGGGGGGTTGACGCATCTTTTAAATCATGCGGACTAATGCGCTGGATTTCTATATCACAAGGGGGTTTGGTGCATTAAACCCTTAAAATAAGTATCACAAAAATGTGAACAAGAAGCAGGGTCGGTTCTTCAATATGGCCTTTTTGTGTTGTCTAGCAGTCTTGCCAAATATATTTATGCGATATTAGATATTTCATAATTATGTATAACTATGTGTGTAGTATGCCTTCAAATATATAAATTATAATATATGCATATTTATGGATTATAAATAATGTATGTCAACAATACGAAGTATATGTTAGCAAAAACTTTACATGATTTCATAGTACTGTGTTTTAAGTAGGAGAGGAGAAGTCATTGTGTTGCGATTTCCAGCAGCAGCTGAAGTATATTTGAAATGTTTTTGTATTTAAACATAAATTAAAACCATGTACCAACTCAATGAATTATGAAGTAAAATAGAAGTTTGATTCTTCCATTCATGTCAAAAATTGATATGTTCCCTTCTAGATTTTTGTGGAAATTAAAGGGGGGAGGATAGTTGTCTACTTATCACACAAAACATACTCCAAATGATTTTCTCTTAGGTTTACATGCAAAAAACACAGCTGCCCGTTCTATTACATTCTTCTGAATTTACTTATGTTAATCTACAAGATTTAACATGTATTACCTGATTTGGAGAAAAAGTGGACTCCGATATTTTGGTGAGAAGATTCGGGTGTATAAATTGTCAAATCTCCTTGATTCGAGTTCTAAAAAAAGTAACAATAAGTCAGTGTGCAAAAAACGTGACCATCTTCGGCTGTTGTCATGATACATGCAAAGAATAGATAACTAAGGAGTAGATACAAATAAAAAGCTAAAGAAAACAATTCTACCTTGTGCTCTGCCAGATCGATGGCTCTATGCAGATGGAAAACCAGTAGGGTTTATTATATAATCAATTCTTTTTTACGAATTGCACTGCCCATACAGGATAAAATCTAAGGGGGCAACTGGGCAAGATTGGGAGGGGGGCAATTGAAGGTTAAAGTTTGGTCAAATTAAAAGTCAAATTTACAGATATAAATAATACAAACTCCATGTAAGTGATTTATGCTTTTTCTATGTTTTTGTGAATGGGGGCGGAGGAGGGTAAGAGAGGAAGGAAGAACGTTTTGTGTGAGGAGAAAGAGAAAGGTAGAGGCAGAGTGTGATGGATTTGAGAACTCCTCAGCATTTCACGCGATGCACATTCGCACGAGTGGCACGATTCTGGGCTTTTTCAGATTTTTACTACGCATTTTTCTATTTTCTTTTGTCAAAAAACAAAAACTACTTAAATTCTTAAATTTGGGATCTATTTGCATTTCTATTTGTTCAATTCATAAACAGAAATACATTGGAGAACAATCTAAAATACACATTTGGAAACATGTGATTTAAATTTGTACACTCAGATTTGAAAAATGACAGCATCTTCTACTTAATAGAACTACAACATCCCAAGACAAAATCACGCTCAACCATTTTTTGGGTTGAGACTTTCCACATCAGAGCTGTAGATTTAAATGGACTACTGGATAAACTAATACCTTGATAGGTTGCTGATAGTTATATTGTGATCCTTTTTTATTAATATTTTTAGTATCTAAATATACTATTTTATTGCAAAAAATAATAATTTTGCAAGGACGGAAAATAAAATGTGTTGTATTTACAAGGACCAAGGCCATATTTAAACCTACTTTTATTACCCTCTAAAAAAGGCCAGTATATCTTGCGTATAAAAGATGAAAATTGAGTATAGAAAAAATTGTACATCATCGCTCTCTTATATAGTAAGAAGCCTAGTTGAATAAAAAATTTAATCTTTAAATTAAACTTGTCATAGAAGAAATCTTAGCTTCAGAACTCTCCCCTCCCCTGTTATGTTTCGGTGTGCTCACCTGTAATGTTTAATTAAATATCACAAGCAACCCCCATGTTGAATTAAAATGACAAGAAACTCACTAGTGTATAACCTGTATTAAACTTTCAATAAACTAAACAAATTCAATCAGGACATTTAAATTGAGATACAATGATAGTTGATAGAGGATACGGTGATAAACCAAAGTTCCAAACCTCATAGACCAACTTTTAATAAATTCGCACACTGAATCAGAACACAACGAAAAACAAAATGGAAGATATCTGAATTGTTTATGGTTAGGTACTTCATATATAAAAGAGAGATTCATAACCTCAACGGAAATCAAACTTTCAAGAGGAATTCTACTTTAACAGAAAGAAAAAAAACGTGTGCAGGTCAATTAAAAATAGAAAACAATGATTGAAGTTACCGGAGAAGCTTCCGAAGGCCACCAAAGATTTCAGGCTATGAGGAGTTTAAACAATTATGTGGGACAAGGCACTGGCTATACAGAAGATCGGCGAAAGAGAGAGCTTTAAAGTGAAGAATGGGTTTTGATGGATTGCTGTTGTGGTCGATTGTCTTTGTCTGGATGTCTGTGGGAGAACATATGAAAGAGAAGATAAAAACTAGAAAAAGTAAAAGTAGTTGAGTATATTTTAAGGGAAAACATATCAAAAAGGAAAATGTAGCAAACTTCTAATTACGGATGAAGTATTACATTTATAAACAAACTGAACCGAACCATCCGGTTTGTAAATATTAGTATCAAACGGTTTAGTATGGAGAATTGAAACCAAACCAAACTTCAAATATCAACTTCGGTTTGGTCAAATCAAAGTGTTTTGCCCACCCCTACTCTCTCATTGAACTTGATCACCCACTCATCAATCACCGCCTTTACCGTTTTCTCTCTTGTATCTCATTGAACCGGTCACCATCTAATCCCCACACTCCTTCATCTCTCATTTTGGCTGACCTGAGTAACTTCTACCCTCTCCATCAGTATATCAAATTCTTCACCCATTTATACATATTCACTCAATGAATTCAGCTTTTTCCTACAATCCAGCACCGTATATTCATCTAACAATATTGTTTTATTAAAGTCATACTTATTTTATCATACATCATTTTTTGCCAAACAATTTTCGCAAATGATTTTGATTCAAAATGTCAAACACTCTGATATAAAAATAAATAAACTCGGAGTTAAATTTTTTATTGTTACTTCAAACCTATTTTTGGAAAACAAATAACTAATATATGTAAAAAAAGAACCATGATAATTTAACTTTTGCACTTGAATTTACTTGAAAAATTTTGGGTCTGCAAACCTCGAGCAATTGAAACTTCATATTTATTTTAAGCTTTATATATATAATATTGGTGTCATGTAAACGATCATAAAAAGTTATAAGATTATTTTTATAAAATGAGGTTTTTTTTCTACTTGGGTCCCGCATTAAGCTGCACTCTTTCTCTTGAATTCAGCTGACTTTTGTGTTAGCTTCTTCCTTCTGAATAAGGGTATGAGCTTCTCATCCCAAGGGTGTCACACATCCACTTTGACACCCTTGAATACATTATTTAGTTTAGGTTGGAGCATATTTGGGGTGAATACCTCAAATTTGAGGTTTTCACTCCATGGAATGTGAGCAGCCTTACTCTTCTCAAAACTTAATACTAGGGACAGAGGCACATATAAACATGTGGTGTCAAGTTGGGACGCTAAATATAAATAACACCATAAGTTCTTGAAAATTACTGTCAATGTATAAAATCTACTCCTATCTCACAATTTTTCCATTTATCATTTATGATATGAAAAGTAAAATAATAAAGACAAATTGCTATAATATTTAGAAAGTTAAACTATAAAACTTTAAAAAAACACTAAAAGAAAATTAGAAGGTTGTTTTGACTTCTTTAACAGATGTAGAGGCCGTTTGGTAACACTGTTTTTCGGCTTATCAGGCTTATCAGCCAATTTTTTCACCAAACACGTAACTTTTGCTTTCGCACGTTGAATTGTGTGATAAGCACAAAAAGTAAGTTTTGGGTTACTTTTCTGGCTGTATTGGCTGCAGTTACCGTAGATGATCATTTTAGCTATTTTTACATATAATTTTTTCTTTATTTTATTAATAAAATATATTTTAAAATTATTTTTTCTTAAATCAGCAGAATAAGTCAATGCAACCACTTCAGCCAGAACTTCATAAATTTCAGCAGAATCAGCCAAATCAGCCGATTTTCGTGCTACCAAACGGGCTCGTAATAAAATGGTTTTATTGCGAGTACATAAGGACTTCATACATTTTGATTTTATATAGTTAATGGATAAATGTTGCAAATGGAATTAACATAGGATAAATAAAACTGAACACGAAAAAAAATAATAAAAATTGTTATAAACGTTTGATAAAAATTTATAAAAAGGTCATATATTTGTACTAATTTATTTAAATTTATTCTATAGTGTTATATATGTGGATTTTCTTATAATATTAGAAAAGTAGAATTTATGGAGAAAAAATGACTACAACTACTATGTGCACACTATAATTATCACTCCAAAGTAAATTTTAACATGATCGTGTTGATTACAATTATAGTTATGTACACTGTCTATTTAAAAAATCAGTTTTGCGTTCAAATGTTGTTTCAATAACTAAATCAGGTGGCAATGAAACACTACAAATATATAGGTGTACGCCTGTGTATACAAACTAATTATATTTAAATATAAGTATATGTTTTGGAAACTAAAAACGTAGCAAATGAATAAACATTTCTGAAGTGATTTTTGACTTACAGGGAGACATGCTTTTGAAAATAAAAAACATCAATTTTTTCTGCCATTTGGGAAACTTAGGTAAAGATTTGATATACAATATCTTTCTGAATGGTTCTGTTGACGCGAGTGAATGAATCAAAATGGGTTTCTGGATTTGCTAAGGTTTGAACAGAACGATATCACTAATTTAACTAAATATTTAAACAGCTATGAATTAATGAACTAATCAATAAAAGAGGGCTGAAGGGGGAATACCGGATGGTTGGAAGTGAAAATCGAGAAGGGTCGATTGGCCGAACCGCCGAAGGGTGAGTGGCGGCGAGCGGGCGACGGGCGTGATGTGAGTAGGAGACGACTGAAGAGACGTGGTGGTTCTGTCGTGCTGCGTGCTGGCGCCTGACGGAGGGTGAAGGCCGCGAAGCGTTCGACACTTTGTGGACGATAGCTGTCGATGGATCCAGAGATGTTTAGGCCGCTTCCTCAAGCCTTTAGATAATATATTGGGCCTTTCGTCAGTTGGACTAGATAATATTGGGCCTTACCCGTTTAAGCTACTTTCCCCTTAGAGCATCTTTAATGCTACACTTTTGACATTAGAAAAAACTTGGCACATCAGGAAGTCACGAATTGTTTGAGTTTTTTGCTCTGCAATGGGTTCTTTCGTTGTTTAACATTGTGTTGATGTGTAAAAAATAATGGTATCATTGTCACACTCAAACCCACTTTCTCAAATTGGAAAGCCAGTCACACTAGCCGAGTCAGCAAACTAGGGGTGTTTGGAACTGATTCTGATTTTGCTTCTTTTTTAAAGCAGAAGCAGAATAAGAATCACTTTTCAGAAGTCGGTCACTCCCAGGTTCTAAAAAAACTGATTCTAGGAGTAAATTAGAGCACCAGAATCACTTCTATACTTTCACCCAAACACTCCAACTTCTGTTTCTGCTCCCTGAAGGAGCAGAAGCAGTTTTAAGAATCAGATCCAAACACCCTCCAAGACTCTTCGTGAGTAAAAGATGGGTAGTTTTATACTTTGCAGATGAGGACTTTTTGTTGCAATTACTTTCATTGATTTCAATTAAATAATTGACACACGCATATGAAATAAACCATTGTTGACCGTATGCATTGTGTACCATTACGACAGTTTAGTTTCTCAAGATTTCACATGCATCCTATGTGGTATAACATTCCATACATTTAGAGCATCTCCAATGCTACAATGTGCATGGTGCACATGTGGTATGAGAGAGATAGACACAAAATATTGATTTTATGACATTTCTCTCTCATTCTTTCTACGGTCTTATGTGTTTTTGGTAAGTTTTTGTATGCAATGTCAACTACAATGTCTACATCTAGACATTGTGCTTGACATTGTGAAGAAAAACTTACCAAAATAATGTAAGATCCTTCAAATAAGGAGAAAGATATTGTGTTTATTGTTTTTTAATTGGTTATTTCTCATGTCACGTATGCACCGTTAACGTTTAGCATTGAAGATGCTCTTAGTGCCATGTGTCGCAATTTTATTAATGTCAAAAGCTTAGCATTAAAGATGCTCTTACATTTTGTTTATGTCTCGGTTGGTTTTATTTTTCAGATCTAGACTTTCGCTTTATCTATTTTAACCTATCTTATTTGGGAAAAGGTGCAAATAAGCCCTCGAACTAAGGAAAAAATGCAAATCATCCCTTTTATGGGAGTCTTTGTCCAAACGTCGCCATTTGGGGAGGTTCCAGGTAGAATTTTTTGATGAATTTTTTTGAGAATCTTCTCCATTAAGTCTAATTTACTCGTATCAAATTTCAGCTAAAAAGTGAATCCGGAAGGAAGTCAAATGAGTTTGTGAAGTACAATTAAGTGAACATACAACTATATCGAGTTCTACAACAGTACTAAAATTCTGTTTCTACTAAGAAAGCTTGATCACTAAGAAATTCCCACATAAATATGAGTACAAGGTTGCTTGAGCTATACTGTTTAAAGGTTATTCCATAAGTGAAATAGTGTTGAACAATATTTTATTTCCATGTATATATAGTTTACCATAAATAGATTTATTATGTCTTTATTACTTAGATTTATTCTATCTTTACTAAATAGGAAGTTAATCTCCGGAGATCTCCTAAGTAAGGAGGGTATCTATGATAGTTTTAGTATATATATTCTTGTACATGATTCAAGGAAAAGTATACATAAATCAGAAAAGTGTTTTTTACCATTCCACCGTGTTAACCCTAATTTAACATGGTATCAGAGACACCGGTTAGCCTCTCCGCTGCCGCTGCCGGTGAAATAGCTTCAAGACTGTCATGACCAGTGACAGATCTTCTTCTTCTAAATCTCCTACTTCTGAAAATTCTGAAGATAATTCAGAAAACAACTCTGCTGTTTCCAACACTACCACGATGGTAACAAGCAACAATGGAACGAACTTTGACCAAGGAGCTGGCGGTTCGGAAATTTACTGGAAAGAATTACCTTCAGTGGTCTCAATCTGTACATATGTTCATCACGGGAAAGCAAAAAGGGGAATATTTGACTGGAGTAGCAGCAAAACCAGAAGATTCCAACTCTGAAGCTTTCACCAAATGGGACAACGACGACAATCAAGTCCGATTCTGGCTAATCTCAACCATGGAGCTAGATATCGGAGACAACTATCTCCTACATCAATTTGCCAATGACTTATGGAGCGATGTAAAGGAAACCTATTCTACTCAAGACAACTCGTCTGCATTGTTTGCAATTGAGCAAAAATTGTTCAATTTTAAACAAGGGGAGATGAGTGCAACTGAGTATTACAACAAACTCACCAGGACATGGCTCGAACTAGATCTGTACGAGGCTCCTGTCTGGGAAACCACTAAGGATGCCAAAACTTTCCGCACGTTTGTTGAGAAAAAATGAACAATTCAGATGCTTCTTGGACTACGACAAGAATTGGACGTGGCCAAAAGCAGGGTAATGGGGACAAACCCATCCCTTAACTTAAAGGCTGCCTTTGCAGATGTGCTTCAGGAGGAGGATCATAGAAGGCCTATGCTTGCCGAAAATGCATCAGCTATTGAAGGATCTGTCCTCAAGACAGAGTCGCTAGCTACAACTCTCGTCACACAGGCAAATCGGAACAAGGGCAAAGCTAAGTGGTGTGAACACTGCCGTCTTCCCCACCATACTAAGGCAGAATGTTGGGAGATAATTGGAGGGGGGGCTGGAAATCGAGAATCAGTCACCATAAGCCTCTTGTGAATGCGACTACCAGTAGGGAAGCAGAGGAGGAACCGCAATTCTCAAAAGGCAGCTTGATTCTTTACAGAAGATGTTTTCTCAAGTTCTCAAGGCTGAAAAGGGGGAACCCAAGGGATTTGTCTCCAGTTCGTTCGAGCAATCATGTACCATACCTAGTGCCCTTGTCTCACATACTCCTCACACAAATGTTTGGATACTTGACTCTGGTGCAACTGATAATATGACTGGGAACTTAAACCTCATCCAGAACATGTAACCTTACCCTCATAAGACAGGGGTTAGGATTGGTGATGGTACCTTAGCACCCATTGCTGGAATTGGTTTGGTTAAGGTCACTCAGAATCTCACCTTGTTTCTTGTCCTTTATGTGCCAAAATTGAACTGCAATTTGTTGTCTATCCGCCAAGTTATTCATGATTTGGGGTGTGAAGTTAAGTTCAGTTCTCCTCGTTGTGTGTTACAGGAAGAGGGGATGGGAATGATCCTTGGCAGTGGTGAGGAACGGAGCAGGAGTTGGAGGAGTCTAGTTCTAAGTCTAAGAGTGCTCATATTGTAGCTAGCTTAGATAGTCGTACTCATCAAATAGTTCTATGGCATCATAGACTGGGTCACCCCAGCTTTATGTATCTTGAAAAATTATCTCCAAAATTATTCAATAAAAGAAGTGCCAAGTTATTTGAATGTGATGTTTGTCAACTTGCAAAACACGCTCGTACTGTCTATTTTGGATCTAGCTATCAGCCTACTAAGCCATTTGCAATTGTGCACAGTGACATTTGGGGTCCTATGAAAGTCTGAAATATCAATGGTGCCCGATGGTTCATCACGTTCATTGATGACCATACACGGCTCACATGGACTTTCTTGATGAACGGAAAATCTGAAACTACTGGTATATTTCAGATTTTCTAGCGAATGGTTCAAACTCAGTTCCAAGAAAACATAAAAGTACTAAAAATAGACAATGCTCATGATTACTTTAACCAGAATATGAGCAAGTATTTGACTGAACATGGGATTATTCATGCTAGCTCCTGCGTGGAGACACCATAACACCACGGAATTGCAGAGCGAAAAAACCGACATCTACTTGAAGTTGCTCGAGCAGCTATGTTCACTCATCATGTACCTCAACATCTATGGGGTGAGGCAGTCCTCACAGCTACCTATCTAATTAATAGGCTTCCCAGCCGCGTGCTTCAGTTTAAGACACCTCGACAGGTATTACTTAAATCTTTCCCACATCTCTTAAGACAGGCCTTGGATCGCGAAGACCCGAACCGCTTCGTGGGCTGCTCCTTCTTCCTGTTTTACCTCAGATCTATCTGCGAAAGTGTTTGGCTGTACTGTGTTTATTCACGTTGGGCCTCATAATCGGTCAAAATTGGATCCCCGTTCTATCAAGGGTGTGCTGATTGGCTACTCTGGTGCTCAAAAGGGTTACAAGTGCTATGTACCATCTACACGAAAGGTATATAACACTCTGGATGTGACTTTCTTTGAGTCTCAGTCCTTCTTCAAACCGACTGTGCTTCAGGGGGAGAAATCTAGCTACCCGGTTGTGTGTGAACCACAGCAGTTTGTGGACCTTATTTCAGCTGAATCTGAGGTGCCTACATCAACCATGGAGGCACAGGGGGGAGAACCTTGCTCCTGTGTCAGATGAACCCGGGCAGGAACAAGTTGGGGTGCAAGTGGAGAACCTTCCTCCTGTGTTAGATGAACCTGAGCAAGAACATGATCAAGTGCTGAAACCACTACTGGTGTATCAAAGGAGGAAGAACAAAGATGACAGTAAGAGTGAGAAATGTAGTGAAGAACAAAATTCTACACTACATGATGAAGCTGAAGACTTGGTTCAAATGATGGAGGAAAATCAAGCTCCTAATGACGGTCTTGATATTCCTATAGCCCTAATGAAAGGAATACGTAGTTGCACAAGATATCCGATTGGGAACCAAATGAGTTATGATCATCTAAGTGATACTCACAAGGCTCTTACAATGGCGATTGATAATGTTACTGTACCAAACAACATTCATGAGGCTATGAAATCACCTGAATGGAAGAAAGCAGTGATGGAAGAAATTCACGCATTAGAGAAAAACAGAACATGGGAAATTGTTCGTCTACCGAATGGAAAGGATATTGTTGACTGTAAATGGCTTTTACAGTGAAATACAAGGCTGATGGCACTGTTGAACGACTCAAGGCTAGGCTGGTTGCAAGA